GCAGAATTGCAGACCATGTCTTAGGTTTCTGATAGAGGGGCCTGCTGCAGGCATTCCGAAAATGACATACACTGGTTGGATCATATTGAAAGCCCTCTGTTTGGGATGTCCAAGTGAGAACCAGGACATGGTTGCCAGGAGGGTAGTTACCAGAGACACTTGGTGACCGTGGGGGTCCAATTTGGGTTAGTACAACAGGATGGGACTGCCACTTGCCTGGGCATGGTGAAGTCCATAGTCAATGATTATTAGACAGATAAGCATTCCACACGCCATGACTAGTAGTATGACGAGGATGCCAGTCTCCTAGGTGGTAAGCTTTGATCACAATCCTGTCAGAGACAGAACAGCTGGAGATGCGGCGCAGGAGTTTGTGAAAGTCATTCCAGCTTGGTCTGTCAGGCTTGGGCTGATAGGGATATGTAGTGGTAGGATGGTAGAATTCCAAACATTGATGGGAGAAAATGCTAGGGGACAGCTTGCTTGTACCAGGAAGGCACAGTTCACTAATCCATTGAATCTTGAGGTACATGCAGACTGAATTGATCCTGTGGAGCATGCAAAGATGGCCTTTTGAAATCTTGGTTACATTCTGAGGGAGGCTGGCGAGGGCAAGATCCATAATCGTGTGATCTCCACTCTGGAGAGGTGGCACCAGCCCTGTGGTGTCAACAGTGATGGTGCCCTTTATAGTGGTCAGATACTTCCAACCATAATGCAAAAAGTTGCCAGGGATGTATGGGATTGCAATGGAGGGAAATTCAAGGACAGGTTTGGAGAGGCCTGAGAATAATTGAAACCACAATAGTACAGTCCTAAGAAGTTTCCCAGCAATATCATTGGATCTCCAATGTTTCAAGAAATGGATGACGTAGCTCCTGCCAGTGATGACCTTCAGGGGTATGAACCCTGCTCCCCCTACAGACACTGGTGCATAGAGGAGTGCTCTGGCAGTAGTGCGTGCATAACCACACAGAGAGAGAATGCGTGGAAAGTATTTCCTTTCCAACTTGAGCAATTGGACAGAAGACAAAAAGGACTGGGGCAGAGGATACTCAATTGCAGGACGCAACACTGTTTCATAAAGCATTTGTGCTGTAGGTCAGTTGGGTGAGCACCGATGAATGGCTGTGCAGATTGAATCTGTTTTGG